ACTCATGATCTAGCTTTCATTACTGGAAAATGCCTTCTCCCATGTGCCAGCCCTTGGCTGGCCAGGGTCTGGAGGCCACGTGGAAGACTGCTTCTGGCGTGCTCCCTGTCCAGTGGAGGGGACTCGTGTAGGTGTGGGGATGAGAGGACAAGGGGAATCTCTGGCACTCCATACAGCAGTCGGTGAGGCCAGAGGACCTGAGGAATGGAGGGCACATCCAGCTCTTCCTGGGAACTAAGAGAGGCAGCCTGGGGAGTCTTTGCACATGTTTTCATGACTTCGTATTCTGACTCCTGGAGAATATGTTCCCTTGATTTTTGTTGTTGTTGTTTTTGTTGGTTATGGGGCTTGTACTCAGGACCTAGGCGCTGTTTCTGAGCCTCTTTGTGCTCAAGGCTAGAGCTCTACCACTTGAACCACAGCAGCACTTCTGTTTTTTGATTGGTTAATGGAGATAAGCATCTCCCAGGGGAAGTAGTGCTGTGGCCCAAGCTGCAGAGCACTTGCCTTGAGCTGAAGAGCTGAGGGACAGCGCCCAGGCCCAGAATTCAAGCCCTGTGACTGACCAAAAAAAAAAAAAAAAATTTAATTTTTAGCCGGCACTGGTGGCTCACACCCCATTCTAGAATGCTACTCAGGAGGCTGAGATCTGAGACCGCAGTTCACAGCCATCCCAGGCAGGAAAGTCCATGAGGCTCTTATCTCCAATAAAACCAGCAGAAAACTGGAACTGGCGCTGTGGATCAAGTGGCAGAGCGCTCACCTTGACCTGAAGAGCTGAGGGACAGTGACCAGGCCCAGAATTCAAGCCCCATGACTGTCCAAAAAAAAAAAAAAAAAGAGTCTCCCAGGCACTTTACTTCCCGCGATCCTTAGATCTCAGCTCTCTGAGCTAGGATTACAGGTGTGAGCCACTGGCACTGGGCTATGTTCCCTTGAGAAAGCAGTAATACCTCATAAAAGCCCTGCTGCTTCCTGGGGCTCTCAGCAGTGCTACTCTAGACACACAGACATTTCAGCTGTCAGTGTTGGATACAGCATGGTCTGTACCATAGGCCTCTGCCATGTTGCTGGTCACGGCTGCATGGAGGCCCAAGGCAGGGAACAGGCAGGCCCAGGGGGACAGCTGCCACCACCAGCTGGGGAATGCAGCTCAGACCCTGCTCTGCTCTGGGGTCAAGCCACACATGGCTACACTTAAAATAGGAGCTGGCTGCCTTACCAGGTGGGATGTGGCTGGTTGGGGCATCAGTCATGACCTGTGCTTTCTGTGGGGGTATGGCTGAGCTTTTCTCTAACACATGCTGGTGGGGATATGACTCATTGTCTGCTTAGCTGCAAGGTCCTTAGCTCCTTTCAATGAAGCTATTTGTCCAAGAATGAAAGGAGTCTGATCAGACTCACTTAAGAGAGTTCCTAGCCAATTTCCTCATTTGTGTCTTCTAGTTACTTTAAGAATAAGAAAGAGCCAGCTGGGTGCCAGTGGCTCATGCCTGTAATCATAGCTACTCAGGAGGCTGAGATTATGGTTCAAAGCCAACCCGGGCAGTAGAGTCCATGAGCCTCTTATCTCCAATAAACCACCAGAAAACTGGAAGTGGCGCTGTGGCTCAAGTGGTAGAGCGTTTGGTACCTAGTACACTGTCAGCTAGAGGCAGCTGCAAAGTGAGGGGAGCTAAAGAGCTAAACAGAGGCCTTGGCAGAAGCAAAGTTGTGCTCAGTGGGTACCCTGGGTAGAGAAGGAACTTGCCTGGTGTGGCTCTCATCCCTCCTACCGTCTCCTAGCCTCTCAGGTCCTAGGTGTCCTCTGTGGCCTTGGAGATTTGCTTCCTGTTTATTGCCTCCTTTCCCACCTGAATGAGAGCCCTTGGAACCAGAACCAACCTACTGTCTCCTGCCTGCTGTCCCTGTCTTTGGGGCCAGGCTGGCTGATGGTTGAGTCCAGTCTCCGAGCACATGGAGCAGTAGAGTAGGAGGCTGGGGAAGTGCTGTGGTGTTAGCTGAGTGGCAGGAGGCCTTTAGAACACAGTATCCATGCAGATGACTTCTTAAGAGCTCAGCTCTTGTTGAGCACAGTTGAGGCAGATAGCCGTGACACACACTCGGGCTCTTTCCCCAGACAGGACATGGCAGAGGACGTGGCAGCCCAGCCCAGCCAGTGTGCAGCCAGACCCCGCAAGTCTGCCTGTGGGGCTGGGTGTGTGGGTCAGTGGCAGAACACTTGCCTGGTACGCATGAGGCTCTGAGAAAGTGGGAAAGAAGACACTACTGTGGCAGTTAAGGGTAATAAGTGGGAAAAAATATTTTTTGGAGATGTCAGCGTGCAGCCGTCTGTTGAAGAGTGTGCCTCTGGCTGCGCTGAATCAGCTTGCAGGGAAGGTGCGAGGCCATGGTTATGTCCAGATTCTGTGCTGGGGCAGGCCGTTCCTCATAGACCAGCTGTCAGTGCTGCTGGGCAGTGCCGCGTGCGGTGCATGCACACGTCTCCTGTGCAGGGAGCCTGGGGATGGCTTCCAGGCTGGAGGACAAAGCCACACCTCCAGGGTAACAGCAGCAGAGATCTGGGGGGAGCTAGTGGATGCCTATAAGAAGACGAGGTCTGTTTGTGGGAGGCAGCAAGGACAGAGAGCCATGAAGGGCAGGCGTGGACATGGCATCTGTCCCAGCTGTTAGCTACTCAGGTGAAGGGGGTGGGTCTCTGCTGTGCATCTCCCTGAGGGCCAACATATATGCCCCCCCAGGAGCAAGGCCCAGCACAGTCCCCTGGGGCCCCTCCCTCTGTGGCCCTGAGTACCAGAGTCACAGCATTTGCCTGCCTTGGACTCCTGGCTGGGCCCCCCAAGACTCCTGCATCTCCTATCTGCTCCCATCCTGGGCTCTGGGGGCCGGCCATATTTCCACTTGCCCTGAAGTACCTCTTCCTTGTTTCTGTCACCCGCTTCTTATGTGCACTGCTCTATAGCCTCTCTACCTGGCAACCTCCCACTTAAAGGACACTGTCCTTCCTGGGCCCTGGGCTCTGGGCTCTGGGCCATGGCCTCACTTTTGGGAGTGGCTCTGTTAATGCCTGGACAGCTTTGTGAACAGGCACATTTAGCCTGTGTATCTTTGATGATGGTTATTTGCAGTGATTTGTGTCATTTTGCGTTCTCCTTATTTTTTTTTTTTTTGTCGGTCGTGGGGTTTGAACTCTGGGCCTGGGCGCTGTCCCTCAGCTCTTCAGCTCAAGGCGAGCGCTCTACCACTTGAGCTACAGCGCCACTTTCGGTTTTCTGGTGGTTTATTGGAGATAGGAGTCTCACGGTCTCTCCTGCCCGGGCTGGCTTTGAACCTCCATCCTCAGATCTCAGCCTCCTGAGTAGCTAGGATTACAGGCATGAGCCACCAGCGCCCGGCTCGTTCTCCTTATTTTTTTTTCTTTCCAATCCTGTGCTCTCTCATTTCTTCCTTGAAGGTCATGTTTGATGAAGATTGGTTGAGTTTTCTTTATTACCCACTCCAAGATACTGGTTTCTGGTCATTTCTTTTTCATTTCTTAGAACATGATACTTGCCTTTTAAGGTTCAGCATCCCTCTTAACCCCAAAGGAAGCTGGCTCACACATATGGGGGTCAGGTTCTTACTGGGCAGTCAGTGCTCTGGCTGCTGTACACTGAAGCTCCTTTACTTTTTGTTGTTGTGGGGCTTGAACTCTGGGCCTGGGCGCTGTATCTCAGCTCTTCAGCTCAAGGCAAGTGCTCTCCCACTTAAGCCACAGCGCCACTTCCAGTTTTCTGGTGGTTTATTGGAGATAAGAGTCTCACAGACTTTCCTGCCCAGGCTGGCTTTGAACCGAGATCCTCAGATCTCAGCTTCCTGAGTAGCTAGGATTACAGGCATGAGTCACTGGCGCCCAGCCTTCTTTTTTACTTTTTGTCTGTCATGGGGCTTGAACTCTGGGCCTGGGCGCTGTCCCTCAACTTTTCAGTTCAAGGCTAGCACTCTACTACTTGAGCCACTGTGCTACTTCCAGTTTTCTGGTGGTTTATTGAAGATAAGAGTTTTATGGACTTTCCTGCCCAGATTGGCTTTGAACCATGATCCTCCAGTCTCAACCTCCTGAGTAGCTAGGATTACAGGTGTGAGCCATCAGCGCCCAGCTAAGCAGCTTCTTTACTTACAGGAGTCCTGTAATCCTAGCTACTTGGAAGGTGGAGATAGGAAGATCACAGTTCCAGACCAGCCCAGGCAACAAAGTTGTCTAGGCCTTAGCTCAAGTAACAAGCTGGGCCTGGTAGTTCTTGCCTCTAATCCTAGCTACTCAGATTGGTCAAGTATACCTTTGCACTTGAAGCAGCTGTGGAGAAGGAAGGGGTGGCTTCCTGGGGCCTTTGGATCCTTGAGCTAGAGGATGCAAGTCCAGTAAACCTGAAGCCAGCAGCCTCTTATGATGTGACCCTGAGCAGGTGATGGCTGATGCTCCTGTGTGGAACCATGGGATCTGTGCTGACGTGTGTGTGTGTGTGTGTGTGTGCGCCCACGCGCGCGCGTGTATGTGTGTGTGTGTGTGTCATCTCCACGGCCCCAAGGCCTCCTGCCGCAGATGTTCATGTGCCATGGGGATGTGGTATTCCACACAGGTACCACACGTGGCCCGTCCATGCTGGCTGTGCTGTGCCCTGGCTCTGGTCCCCCTGTCACCTTCCTTCCTATAGTTCCAGACCCTGGCCACACCTCTGCCCGTCCCTATTATCCCTGGACAGGACTGGCCTCTGCTGTGGCAGGAAGGTGACCAGGCTGGTCCTGGCCCTTAGAGGCCTATCCTTGAGCACTGGCAGTGTGGGCATTGAGGGCACCTCTGGCCTTCTCTCCTCATTAGCAGGGAGCAGCTATGTTCAGATAAGGCTTGAACATTGGAGAAAGCGAAGCTCAGTAGTTGAGAGCTGGCTGTGTTCCAGGCCACCCTAGTGCAACCTGGGGACCCTGGAGGGAGACAAGCGCCCAGCAGGTGGAGTGAGGCCATGGCCATGTATGGAGCCTGCTTCCTGAGGGGTGAGGCCACAGACATGTGTGGAGTCTGCTCCATGAGTGGAGTCTGCTCCGTGAGGGGTAAGGCCGTGGCCACGTGCGTAGCCTGCTCCGTGAGGAATCTCCTCACCTGTTTGGTGTGGCTGCGACCTGCGACCTTTAACCAGAGTCCTCTCCTCAGTCACTCACCACAGTGGGATCTGGCCCCATCCTGTGGGCAGCCTTGAAGATACATGGCAGGATGCTAAGGCCTCTAGGGCGCTGTCCTGTGGTATTCCCCTGCCTGGAGGGTGTGGGGAGCCAGGCTGGCTATACATACCATAGGGGTGGCTTCTGGACACAAAAGGCTCTTTAGTTTGCTCTCCTAACAAAGCTCATGGTCAGCAGTCTGGGGCCCACGTGCCGCCTCACACAAGGCTGAGGTCTTAACTGTGTGCTTGCCAGGTGCTTGGAGGAAAGAGGAGGTTGTTAGTGTTCTCAGAGTGCCAATCAGGGTGCACAATGCTTTTCTGTCCTCCTTGGGTTCTGCCATTGAGGTAGCTCAGCCCTCCCAAAGCTGCAGAGGTGGCCACAGATCTGCTCCCCTGCTCTGGGTAAGGGCCTTTCTGGTGGTGACATGGCCTGGGTGGGGCTCATGGTGGGGACCCTGTGAGGTGGTGGACTGAGCAGTGGGCTGGGGACTCCAGTGTCAGAGCCGGGTGCGGGGGAGTGAGAGCTGGGGGGCTGGCCGGAGGATGACAAGGGAAGGCCGCTGGAGGGACTGCTGCGAGGTGTGTGCAGGCGCTGTGCCGGTGTCCCCATGCCAGCGGTGAGTGCCTGTTGTGGCGGCTGGTGCTGTGGAGAGCCTCTGCGCCCTGTGGGGGGGGGGTCTCCAAGTTCCCCCTCCTGCCCCCACTTCCTGCTGTGAGCCCCAGCGGTGCTGGTAAACCTGAGCTCTTGGCAGCGGGCCGGTAGAACATTGGAGACAGTACAGGAGCAGACAGGTCACCTCCTGCAGAGTGGCCCCTCAGGTCAGGTGCCCCACCTGCCTGACTTGAAGGTGGGTGTCCTCACCTACGCTGAGGACGTTCACGCACCTGCCAAGGCAGCCCTGGGTGTGTGAGAGCTTCGGGAGATGTACTCAGCCACTTGCTTGCTGTGTGAACTGGTGACTTGCCCTGGAGGCCTTCCATGCCAGACTGCCCCACAGCTGCCCTGTTCTCCTGGAGGCTAGGTTATTGCCCATCTCTACCAGTCTACAGAGCCTGTGAACCAGAGTGCGGGCTGAAGCACAGATTGCGCTGTCCAGAACACACTTACCATATGTACTTGCTCCTGGCACCCTGTCTGGAGCCTGCTGTGCCCACTCACACTTGCTCCTGGCGCCCTGTCTGGAGCCCACTGTGCCCACTCACACTTGCTCCTGGAGCCCTGTCTGGAGCCCTCTGTGCCCACTCCCACTTGCTCCTGGCGCCTGTCCGGAGCCCGCTGTGCCCACTCACACTTGCTCCTGGAGCCCTGTCTGGAGCCCGCTGTGCCCACTCACACTTGCTCCTGGCGCCCTGTCTGGAGCCCACTGTGTCCACTCACCTTCTCAGCATACCTCGGCAGGTCTGCAGCAGGACCTGGGCCCTCCCAAGACCCATGTCCATCACCATCTGTTGCTGTATCTGCTGGACAGCAGGTCATCTTGGAGAGAGCAGGTGGGAACTAGAAAGGGTGCAGTGTGACAGTCCATAGCCCTCTTGGGGCAGGATGGGCAGTGTGGAGTAGCATGGCTGTCCAGGAGATGAGTTGGAGCTGGGGTGGTGGGGTGAGGCGGGTCTGTGGGTGACCCCCATGGCCAGGACATTGACTAGGTTTTACAGAGGCTTTTCCTTATTGAAATTGCCGAGAGACATTGGGCAGAGATGGTGGTTCGTCACATATGCACCCCTTTGCTTCTTTCTGGAGCCTAGGAAGAGATGATGAAGGAGAACCAGTCCTGGAGCCTAGGAAGAGATGGGGGAGGAGACCCAGGCCTGGAGCCTAGGATGAGATGATGAAGGAGACACAGGCCTGGAGCCTATGAAAAGATGGGGGAGGAGACACGGGCCTGGAGCCTAGGAAGAGATGATGAAGGAGAACCAGTCCTGGAGCCGAGGAAGAGATGATGATGGAGACACGGGCCTGGAACCTAGGCAGAGATGGGGGAGGAGACACAGGCCTGGAGCCTATGAAAAGATGGGGGAGGAGACACGGGCCTGGAGCCTAGGAAGAGATGATGATGGAGACACAGTCCTGGAGCCGAGGAAGAGATGATGAAGGAGACACAGTCCTGGAGCCAAAGAAGAGATAATGGAGATACAGGCCTGGAGCCGAGGAAGAGATGATGAAGGAGACACAGTCCTGGAGCCAAAGAAGAGATAATGGAGATACAGGCCTGGAGCCGAGGAAGAGATGATGGAAACCCAGGCCTGGAGCCTAGGAAGAGATGATGAAGGAAACATAGTCCTGGAGCCGAGGAAGAAATGATGAAGGAGACAGTTCTGGAGCCGAGGAAGAGATGATGAAGACAGAGGCCTGGAGCCTAGGAAGAGAGGATGATGGAGACCCAGGCCTGGAGCCGAGGAAGAGATGATATGGAGATGCAGTCCTGGAGCTGAGGATGAGATGATAAAGGAGATACAGGCCCTTTAGGAGCCATTGGAATGACCTCAGGCTGGCTTTCCTGGACCACCAGTAGGGTGGCCCAGGAAGACTGGGCTGTGATTCCCAGAGGAGCCCAGGGGTCTAGGGTTCAGAGGTCATCTGGCCAGTACCTTTATCACCTACTTTGGGCTCGACCAGTTTCTTCATCCCACAGACAGGTTGAGAGAAGATGTGAGGCCAGGGACAGGAACTCAGAAGAGCAACAGTCGGCCATTATTGTTGCTCTGCCTGGAGCTTGCAGGCCTCTGGCCTCCACTGTGTGGTGTGGAGAGAGGTTGTGAGTCTTGATTTCCTCCTAGGGGTTTCTAGGAGGCAACTGCAAGAGAAACCCTCTTGACAAAAGGCTTAATGCAAGTTAAAAACCAATCTCATGTGCACTGTTGGTGGGAATGTGGAATAGTGTATCTGTGCTGTGGAAAACGGGATGAAGACACCTCAGTTAAACAGAGAGGTACCCTGTGGTCCAGAGATTTCATTTCAAGTATATATTCAGAAGAATTTAGAGTAGGACTGGTAGATACATTTCCACACCTATGTCTGTCGCAGCATAATCCACAGTAGCCAAGAGGAAGCAGCAGCTTGAGTACTCACCAGCAGAGGACAGGTAAACAAAACATGTTCTGTCCACAGGGTGGGACATTATTCAGCCTTCAAAGGAAGGATGTTCCAACACATGCTGTAATGCAGATGGACCTGAGGCTGCTGTGCCCAGTGAAGTAAGATGGTTAGGAAAGAACAAACACTGATGTATTTGTCACACGGAGTGGAGTCACAATCACAGAGACAGGAAGCCAGAACCAGAGAGGGGATGGGCAGTGTGTGTTCAGTGGTGCAACTTCAGACTTGCAAGATGGATGAGTTCTAGTGACTGATGGGGGGTGGGGGCTTGCTCGAAGGCCAAGCCCAGCAAAGAGCAGAAACCTCACGTCAGCCAGCAGCTGGGCATGTGGTGTGAAACTGTCATCTCAGCTAGTTACCCTGGTACCCAAGCCCAGGATTAAACATGAGACTCTTGCCGGGTGCCGGTGGCTCACGCCTATAATCCTAGCTACTCAGGAGGCTGAGATCTGAGGATCATGGTTCAAAGCCAGCCCGGGCAGGAAAGTCTGTGAGACTCTTATCTCCAATAAACCACTGGAAAAACAGAAGTGGCGCTGTGGCTCAAGCAGCAGAGCGCTTGCTTTGAGCTGAAGAGCGCAGGGACAGCGCCCAGGCCCAGAGTTCAAGCCCCACGACTGACCAAACAAAAACCAAAACCATGAGACTCTTAAAAAATAGCTAGAGCAATAAGGTTTTTGTTGTTGTTGTTTCTTTTTAAGAGGGACAAAAAGAAGTACAGAAATGGAGGGAGGAAGGGTGAACAAATACAGTCATGATATTCAGTGTTCTCTATGTAAAAAATGAACTGTGTAACTGTGGGCAGGGATGAGAGGGAGAAACGAGGGGAAAGGGAAGGAGGGGCGATGGTGTCCAAGCAGAATTGTACTCCTTACCTGACTTGCGGAATTGTAGTCCCTCTGTACAACACCTAATAATAATAACGATAAAATTATACTAAAAAAAAAGCCAGAGCTAGGAAGGTGGCTTAGTGGTAGAGTGCTTGCCTAGCATACATAAAGCCCTGGGTTCCATTCCTCAGTACCACATACACAGAAAAGGCCAGAAGGGGTGCTGTGGTTCAAGGGTGCTAGCTGGGTGCCAGTAGATCACACCTCTAATCCTGGCTACTCAGGAGGCTGAGATCTGAGGATTGCGGTTCAAAGCCAGCCCGGGCAGGAAAGTCCATGAGATTCTTATCTCCGATAAACCACCAGAAAACCAGAATTGGCCCTATGGCTCAAGTGGTAGAACACTAGCCTTGAGCTGAAGAGATGAAGGACAGCACCCAATCCCTGAGTTCAAGCCCCATGACCACCACCACCAACAAAAACAAACACACACACACACACACACACAAAACAACAGCTAACCAGGTGCCTGTAGCTCACACCTGTCATCCTGGCTACTCAGAAGGCTGAGATCTGAGGATCACGGTTCAAAGCCAGCCCGGGCAGGAAAGTCCGTGAGACTCTTATCTCCAATAAACCACTGGAAAACCAGAAGTGGCGCTGTGGCTCAAGTGCTGGCCTTGAGTTGAAGAGCACAGGGACAGTGCCCATGCCCAGAGTTCAAGCCCCAGGACCGACAAAAAACAAACAGCTAAAGCAAAAAGTGCAGGATACCTGTCTGGCAAGTACAAGCTCTACATTCAAGCTCTAGTATCACACAAATACGGTAATAATAAAGCAAACTGCATATGAAATGACAAGCAACTTTAATGAGAGCTAGGGTCTGTGTGGCCTGAGAGTCACTGGACATAGCTGCTGCCACCAGATAGACACGCAGCCTCATAGTTCCAAGCTGAAAATCCAGGTCGAGGTGCCGGCCGACTACCTGTGGTGAGTCCACTGAGGGCCAGAGCCACCCTTGCGCATGTCCTCACAGGACAGAAGTAGCAGCCATCTGGGATCCTTGTGATCTCATCGTGCTCCACCTCCATCACCTGCTCCTCTCTCAAAGGCCTCGCTTCCGATTCTTTCACCTTGGGATGAGGATTTCAACGTGAATTTGGAGGGGAACACAACATTCAGTCTTAGTTTTAACTGAAGATAGTTTCTTACCAGATACAATTAATTTAAATGAGTTATAAAAACTAAAATGATATGTGAGTTGGCAGAAGGCCAGGCACAAGCCAGGTATGATGATACACATCTGTAATCCCACCTAGTGGGGAGGCTGAGTCAGGAGAATGAAGAGTTTGAGGCCAGCCTGGAAATTAGAGACCCTATCTGAAAAAAAAACAGGAAGAGGAGAAAGTTGGGGACATGGCTCAGGTAGTAGAGTGTTTGCTATGGGGCCCTGGGGTCAGGCCTCACTACTGTTGAAAAACAAAACACGACTATAATTTCTGGGAAACATGCTTAGAATATATTAAAAATTAAAAATTTGAGTGGCAGCCTTCAGAGAGGAGGAGATATTAGTCAAAGACTAATACCTAGAACACAGTATTTCTCTTTTTTTTCTTTTTTTCTTTGTCAGTCATGGGGCTTGAATTCTGGGCCTGGGTGCTGTCTCTGAGCTCTTCAGCTAAGGGTGAACGCTCTACCACTTGAGCCACAGCGCCATTTCTGGTTTTCTGTGGTTTATTGGAGATAAGAGTCTCACAAACGGTCCTGCCTGGGCTGACTTTGAGCCGTGATCCTCAGATCTCAGCCTCCTGAGTAGCTAGGATTACTGGCGTGAGCCACCGGTGCCTAGAAGAACAGAATTTCTAGACATGTATAGAAAGTCATCTTGATGGAAAAATAGGCAAAGGACTCAACAGCAATCGACAGGAAGTCCATGGCCAAGGAAACCTGTCGAGTTGCAGAGCTTCTCGTAACTACTTGTAAACACTGACCTGGCCGCATGTATTGTCCACTGGCATTGGCTGGCTCTGGGGGTCTAGGGCACAAGGCATTTCTGTAACTGGGAGCCAGAAATGAAAGGCTAACCATATCCCAGCTTACTGATGGCCTCTGTCCAGGCAGCATTCCACCCCTAATCTGGTACAAGGTAGCTCTGTCATTGAAGCAAGGGAAAGGAATGAACATGGACCTGCCATCTGGGAAGTAGCCCTGGTCACCATCCCTGCTTGATCCCCAGACCAGAGGCTGTCCACAGAGGGGAAGCTGCCACACAGCCAGCATGGGTGTGTGGGCAGCCTGCCAGAGACAGCTGGCAACCTTGGCCAGTCATGGATACACCATCTTCTCAGGACAGTGAGAATCAGGTGTTGGGGACACATTGTCTTCTGTGGGACATCTCTTTGTCTCTTCAAGAGAATACTTGTTACCTATATACAATGGAATATTATGTAGTCATTAGAAAGGACAAAACAATGGCATTCTCAGGGAAATGGATGGAACTAGAAGAAATCATGTTGAGTGAGGTAAGCCAAGAGCAAAGAGACAAAACAGGACATGGTCTCCCTGATAAGTGGATGTTAAATCCAAAATGTAAGGAGATACGACAAAGTTAACAAGACTTGAGAAACAAAGGACCTCCACTCAGCTGGTCGAATTATTACTAAATGACCCCATGCTGCTGATCATATATATGGTACATATGTACACACGGAAGGGAAACTAGGAGGACAACACAGAAACAGGGAAACGGGAAAACATACAACAGTGAGACCCATCAGCTGCACTGGACATGGATCAAAACGAACTAAGCAGCCCAATGGCAGCGATGGGAGGGAGGGAACAGATGGGAAAGAGGGAACAGCTGACGCTAAGCAAAAGGAAAGATCATCTGATGTGGGAGAAATAACTGTATTGTCAAAGCCCATAGAACTCATAAACTTTATAGACCACGTTAAAGACAATTTGCCCCAGGAAGGTTAGAATGTGTTTGTGACTTACGTATCACTATCCTACAATACTGTGAAATTGTGAAATTTATGTAATCACATAATCACAATAAAAAATTAGTATAAAAATAAATTATATTCCCCCCCCTAAAAAAAAGAGAGAGAATACCTATAAGCCACATTGGTGGGTACTCTGAGCCCCCTCACATTTCTGAACCAACAGTGGCTCTGCTCTCAGGAGGTTTCAGTGGATGGGCCATCACTCACCAGTTGCAAGCAGACACAGTATCAGAGGAGGCAGTAATACTCATGCTCAGCAGGCCTCTTAATGGGATTGTGGACTTTTTTTTTTTTTTTGTCCTGGTGCTTGAACTCAGGGCCTGGGCTCTGCTGTCCCTGATCTTTTGATCAAGGTTAGCTTGAACCATAGCCCCACTTCTGGCTTTTTGATGGTTAATTGGAGATAAGAGTCTTATGGACTCTCCTACCGTGGCTGGCTTTTTTTTTTTTTTTTTTTGGTTGGTCGTGGGGCTTGAACTCTGGGCTTGGGCACTGTCCCTCAGCTCAAGGCAAGTGCTCTACCGCTTGAGCCACAGCACCACTTCTGGTTTCCTAGTGGTTTATTGGGGATAAGAGTCTCACGGACTTTCCTTGCCCAGGCTGGCTTTGAACTGTGATCCTCAGATCTCAGCCTCCTGAGTAGCTAGGATTACAGGCATGAACCACTGTCGCCCAGCTCCAGGGCTGGCTTTGAACCATGATCCTCAGATCTCAGCCTCCTGAGTACCTAGATTGTAAGTGTGAGCCACCAGCACTTTTTTTTTTTCATTTCTTTAAAAGTTATATGGTAGGGCTGGGAAGGTGGTTCAGTGGTAGAGCGCTTGCCTTGCATGCATGAGGCCCTGGGTTCATTCCTCAGCATCACATAAGCAGAAAAAGCCAGAAGTGGCACTGTGGCTCAAGAGCCTTGAGCTGAAGAGCTGAGGGACAGCACCCAGGCCCAGAGTTCAGGCCCCACGACCAACCAAAAAAAAAGATATATGGTAAAGTTCCTTTTCCTGTGTCCCTAAGTTATATAGCTCTGAGTTTTAACAAATGTAGATTTCGATGTCTTCATATTCAAGTAGGCCCAGAATGTTGGACAATCCTGGCCATCATGTGATAGTCACCCTGGACTCACCTGGGCCACTCTAGCCTCTGATCTCTCTCTGTCCTATTAGCCTTATCTTTTCCAGAATGGATGGACTCAGCTCTGACTTCCTGACAGTGGCTTTTGTGTCAGAATAATGCTGCTACAGTTTTAACTTTGCCGGGTTCCCAGTAAGTGCTACCTGAATGTCATATCCATTGTATAGATCGACGGAGTTTTGGATTTTAATGGTACTAGTTGTTGAACTCAGGGCCTTGGACCTGCTAGGCAGGTCCTCTACCACTTATCCAATTTTCCTCAGCCCTTCTTGTTTTAGTTATTTAGAGCCTGTGTTTTTTTCTGGACTAGCTTGGATTGCAATTGTCCTGTGTAGCTGGGATGACAGATGCATACCACCAAATCAGCTTTTTGTTGGTTGAGATGGGATCTAACTAACCTTTCACCTAACCTTCCATGATTCTTCTCATCTCCACCTCTCAAGTAGCTTGGATTATAGGCTTGAGCACAAGACTCAGCTCTGAGATTTCTGTGTGTGCTTGTGCATGTGTGCGTGTGTCAGTAATAAGACTTGAACCCAGGGCCTGGGCATGGTCCAAGACTGATGTTCTACCACTTGAGCCACAGCTCCATTTCTGGCTTTTAGGTGGTTAATCAGAGATAAGAGTCTCACGGACTTTCTTGCATTGGCTGGCGGCAGCCCACAATCCTCAAATCTCAGCCTTCTAAGTAGCTAGGATGACAGGTGTGAGCCACCGGTGCCTTCACTTTGTTGATTTTAACAACAACAAAAGCTTCTGGAGTTGTACCAGAATAGTATCCTACCTACAGATGAGTCTGGGGAGAACTACCAGGCACGTATGAGCATGGTGGGCTCTGTTTGGATCTTTGATTTCCTCTGTCTATTTGGGCATCAGTAGTGTAGCATGCAGCTCTATGTTTGTTTTAGATTTGAGTATTTGATGCTATACAAGTGAATGGTTTGCTGGGCGCCAGTGGCTCATACCTGTAATCCTAGCTACTTAGGAGGCTGAGATCTGAGCCAGCCTGGACAGGAAAGTCCGTGAGAGTCTTATCTCCAATAAACCACCAGAAAACCAGAAGTGGCGCTGTGGCTGAAGTGGTAGAGCACTAGCCTTGAGCTGAAGAGCTGAGGGACAGTGCTCAGGCCAAGTGTTCAAAACCCATGACTGACAAAACACACACACACACAAAACCAAGTGGATGGTTTAGCACTTGACTTCCAGTTGCTCACGGCTGGCATGCGACTGGCATGCGGCGTGTGATCGCTTTTTACGGGTGATCTGGCCTCCTATGGTCTCATGAAGCTCACTGGTTCTCAGAGCTGGTCTTCACATTTCCTGCATTCCTTGGATTCTCTACACGCACAGTCCTGGTGTCTGCAGATGAAGGTTCTTTTCCTTTTCCTTTTCCTGTCCTCATGCCTTTTCTTCCCCTTGCTTGTCTGCTGCGCTGGCTGCAGCTGGCAGGGGAAGTAGTCGCCTTGGGCATTTTACACAAACTCTGTAGACAGAGCAAGCTGTCCCTTCCTGACTTTGCAGAGTGAGGTTTTTGTTTCTTTTTTCTGGTCATGGGTCTTGAACTCTGGGCCTGGGTGCTGTCCCTGAACTCTTCAGCTGAAGGCAAGTACTCTACCACTTGAGCCATAGTGCCACTTTCAGTTTTCTGGTAGTTAATTGGAGATAAGAATCTCATGGACTTTCCTACCAGGGCTGGCTTTGAACTGCAATCCTCAGATCTCAGACTTCAGAGTAGCTAGGATTACAAATGTGAGCACCGGCACCCGGCTTTGCAGAATGTCTTTATCATGAATGACTGCACTCTCCACATCCTAGAGTTTCTCTAGCCTGCTCTTCCAGAGTTTCCAGATTCCTTCCAAAAGCTCATTCAAAGGTTCTGCACTCTTGTCAGGACGGCCTCGTCAGTGGCCCCACTCTTGGTAACAGTTCTCTGTATCAGCTTTCTGACATTCATTATAGCAGACCTCGGAGATAACCGACCTATAAAGAAAAATTTGTTTTGGCTCATAATGTTGAAGCTTCAGCTGTGGTCTGGTGCCCCATTTCTTGTTTTGAGGTTAGGCAGCACGTCATGGTGGGAGAGTGTGTGGAACAGGCTGCCCACCTGTGTCCAAGAAACAAAAAGGCAGGTGTGATGTAAGAGCAAGGGATGAGCCCTACAGCCCTCTGCCAATGTGTATCCCACGAGGCCTTTCTCCTAAAGGTCTGGAGTCCATGCCTTTAATACAAGGTCTTTACCACTGAGGTTATGAGAGGGCGGGAGAAAGAGAGTCTGATGGTACTGGGCAGGTCGTTTTCCTGTCAGGTGTGGGGCTTGAACTCAGGGTGCTGTCCCTGAGATTTTGTGCTCAAGGCTAGCACTCTACCACTTTGAGCCACAGCACTACCGGTTTTCTGGTGGTTAATTGGAGATAGAGTCTCATGGCCTTTCCTGCCTAGGCTGGCTTCAAATCAAGATTCTCAGATCTCAGCCTCCTAAGTAGCTAGTTCAAATGTGACAATGGCTTCATTCTTTTTTTTTTTTTTTATAGCCCTGGAGCTTGAACCCTGGGCCTGGGTGCTGTCCCTGAACTTTTGCTCAAAGCTAATATTCTACCACTTGAGCCACAGTGCCCCTTTCAGCTTTTTCTGAGTAGTTTATAGGTGTGAGCCACAGGTGCCCAGCTTGACTTCATTCTTCATGACTGAATAATACTTCACTGTATATATGTACATATGTCATATTTTCTTTATCCATCATCTGTCACCAGCATCTAGGCTGATTCCATAGCTCAGCTACTGTGAATAGTGCTGCAGTACACAGAGGTGTGCAGGTGTCTCCATTGTATGTTGACTGTGGCATTCCTGTGCATGGATGTCTTGGGTGGAATAGCACGATCATCTGATAGTTCTGTGGTTATAACTTTGAAGAACCTCCATACTGATTTTTTCTTTCTTTCTTTCTTTCTTTTTCTTTTTTTTTTTTTGGTCAGTCGTGGGGCTTGAACTCTGGGCCTAAACACTGTCCCTCAACTCTTCAGCTCAAGGCTAGTGCTCTACCACTAAGCTACCTTCCTAGCCCTAATGAGACTTACTAAGTAGGACTATTCTCCTTACTGGTTTCAGCTTGGTGAGTTTTGGTGGTTGGCTGCTTTCAGTGCTTGTTACATTGTGTCTTCATTGTTCATAGTTCTTACAGGGCTCCCTGGTCTACTTTCCTACTCTGAGGTCTGTAGTCCTATCTTTTCTTTCTGATAAAACTCCTTTTTGTCCTTGGATAAAAGTTTAATGAAATTTGCTGATCTTCTCAACATTTTTTTTTCTCTATTTTCAATTTAGTTGTTTCTGATTTTACTTCGGTTATCTCCTTCCTTATGCTTTTTTCTAGAGTGGTAATAGTTGTGATTTGGTGGTACTAAGGTTGTGTGTGTGTATGTGCGCGTGCGTGCGTGTGCGTTTGCACACACATCTGCATGCGTGCTAGCACATGCATACATATGACTTGAACTCAGGGTCGTGTACTCTTGCTTAGCTTTTTTGCTTAAGGCTGTCACTCTACCACTTGAACTATAGCTCCACTTCCAGCCTTTTTGGGTGGCTAATTGAAGGTAACAGTCTCACAGGCTTTTCTACCTCGCCAGTTTTGAACCACTCTCCTTCTAAGAAGCTTGGATTACAGATATGAGCCAGTGGCAACCAGCTATTTTGGGGGGGTGTGTGTCTGTGTGTGCGCGTGTGTGCGTGTGCACGTACGTACTCACAGGCATGTATATGCCAGTCCTGGGGTTTGAATTCAGAGTCTGGGCACTGTCCCTAGGCTTTTTTGCTCAAGGCTAACACTACCACTTGAGCCATGACTCCACTTCTAGCTTTTGGTGTTTAGTTGGAGTTGAGTCTTTGACTTCGGACCACTTTTTTTTTTTTCTCCCCAGTCCTGGGGCTTGAACTCAGGGTCTGGGCACCGTCCTTGAGCTTCTTTTGCTCAAGGCGAGCACTCTACCACTTGAGCCATAGTGCCACTTCCAACTTTTTCTGCTTATGTGGTGCTGAGGAATCGAACCCAGGGTCTCATGCGTGGAAAGCAAGCACTCTATCACTGAACCACCTTCCCAGCCCCCACTTTGTTTTTAGGACAGAGCTTCACACCGGAGGCAGTAGTTCCCAACTGTAATCCTAGCTGTTTAGGAAGCTGAGATGGGGAAGCTCAACACCCCAAGGCTAGCAGGGCAAAAGTTTGCAAGCCTATCAAAAGCTGATGTGTCCGTGTGTGCCTGTCAGCTATACTGAAATTGTAAAGAGGGGTTGCAGTCTAAGCTATCCCTTGGCAAAACGTGAGGTAACTATTCAAAAATAACTAAAGTATTAAAGGGCTCCTGGCTGACTTAGGCACGAAGCCATGAATTCAAATCCCACACCACCACCAAAAAGAAAAGAGAGAAAATGCAAGATACTAGCTTTGCCTGATAGTCTTTCGGCTTGCCTCCCAAGTAGCCTGGAGATGCCCTGTCTGACCAAGGGGTCAGCTGCTGTTCAGTTCCCCAGGCAATTAAGGGCTTTCCAACTTCCTTCCGTTATGGTTGTCATCTTTACTTTTGGCTTTGGTTTTCTTTTCTTCAGTTTTACTTTTCTGAGTTCTACCATGATCTAAAGTTCATAGGTAGAAGATTCCAGAAAGACACACGTTTTCAGTTGTGTGACATCCTGAGTAGTCTGACGAGACTCTATGTTGTTCTCCTCTTCCTCCCTATCCCTCAGAGCAGTTCAGGCGCAGCCCGCTGGGTCCTGGCATGGCTCCTCAGGAGCCTCTGCAGATGCAGAGGGCCGGCGAGTCAGCTCCCTGGGCGTGTCTGCATCCACTGCCTCCCAGTAGGCTGTGGACTAGGGCCACTGTGGGAGTCACACAGCCTGGCTGGTGGCTTTGGTGGGCCTGTAGGTGTTGCTCACAGTGGCAGACGTTGGCCTGGGGACGCCCCCCCCCCCAGCACACACAGTGTTCGCAGCATGTGCCATCTGCCCTTACCTTCCACCTTCTGTCCTGCTGAGCGCCACAGCTCGCTCTGGTGTACAGGCGGCCTCTGAGCTGCTGCCCCTGCTGTCTGGCACACCCTGCTGGGAGAAGCTCCTGTCTTCCTTCACTGCTCCCAGCTCTCAGTGGGGTGCATGTAACTTCACTGTGGTTACCTGAGCATCTAGAACAGGACAGGGCCTCATCTTAATTATAGGGATAGGGGGTTTCTAGTGTGTGCTCATGGAGCGAATGCCACTCCAAGACCCTGAGCCAAGGAACTTGTGGCCCAGCCCAAGCTCATCTGACTCAGTGCCTCTGAAGCCTGGGTAGGAAGGGCGGTGAGAGACCTCAGGTCCCCACATCCTCGGGTGTGGAGCCAGAGACACGTGATGTGCCAGAGACACGTGATGTGCACATTGGGGTTAGGGGCGAGCTCCTCGGCCTGCCTGCTTGCTGCTTTAGACTCAGGTGTTGATGATCCAGCAGCAGCTCAGGATGGATGCCCAAGTCTAGATTGCCCACAGAGACAATCACAGACAAGGACTTGTTTGTCCTAGAACTCAGAGGTGTGCCAAGTGGCCAGTATCTTCATCTGGATGAGCACACTTACCTGTGCTGTATACAGTATCTTAAACCATTATCGAAGTAGAAAAGTGATCATGCTTCAAAGAGAGCTGTGGAGAAGCTTCTAGAAACCACATGCTCACATTTTGAAAGCCAGGAGCCTTGGCCGTCTTTGTGGAGTTGTTCTAAAGGGTTGTGTGCATATATATGTGTGTGTGTTCTTGTGTGCATGTACATATGTGGCACGGGTGCCTCCGGGAAGATATGTGCTCATGCATGTCAGGCTCTGCAGATGCAGACGTGGCAGCTATGTGTCTACTCTCTGCAGACAAGCCACTGGGTGTGGTGTGTCACCCACACCACCCCGAGGCAGGATGACAGCATCTCCAAGCCAGAACAGGATGTGGAAGTAAAAGTGGCGCTAAAGGAGTATTCACAGGCACCTGTGGGGCCAGGCGGATGGCTGGAGGCCCAGCCTGGCGGTGGGTGGCTGTGTAGGATGCGGGATTGTGTTGTACTTTCACAGTTGGGAGCGGGGCTCAGGCTGTACCGCACTCTGGTCTCTGGGAACCTCTGCTCTGCGCTCTCGCATGCCAGGCTCTCGGATTTCCTCTCTCTGGTCTGCCTCCTCTACCTAGCTCCAGGTTCCTGAGTAGGTGGGGAGTGGGCCTTGCAGGGGACAACTGCAGCGTGGGGCAGGTGCCTGGGAACTTCCTGAGACTAACCCTGCTTCCTTGCAGGTTGTGCAGCCTGACCCTGAAGAAGCTGGCTGTGCTCAGGGAGCTGGAGAAGGAGCTCATGTCTGTGGTGATAGCTGTCAAGATGCAGGTGAGCATGCACATGCCTCACAGGCCGGAGCCGGCCAGTGGGCCCTGGACAGTGGCACCCATGGCTCTCAGAGCCCTCCCAGGAAGGGAGGGGCTTTGACCCCATAAGGAGCAGAAGACAAGAGGGGACCAGCTCTGGACCAGAACCCTGACCCCACACTGTCCCACCTTTTATTGGTTTTTTTCAGGGAACGTGTGACAGGCCTTGTGATAGTTTTCTATGAGGCTCTTGCAGAAAGATAAGCCACTCTCTTGGTGAAGAGCAGCCCCAGGTCCCTCCACACGGCCCACCATGTCTGTAGGCCACCCTGCTTGGGGTCCCACCAGGACCAGATGTACTGTCAGGGGATGAGACGTGGCTTTTCAGCTCTAGCTTCCCAGGTCCCTCTGGGGGCCTCTGCAGGGGCCTCTGCAGGGACTGCTCACAGTGTGTATGTGTGTGTGTGTGTGTGTGTGCAGGGACTGCTCACAGTGTGTGTGTGTGTGTGTGTGTGTGTGTGCAGGGACTGCTCACAGTGTGTGTGTGTGTGTGTGTGTGTCGGTTGTAGGGCCTGAACTCTGGGCCTGGGCACTGTCCCTCAGCTCTTCAGCTCAAGGCGATCACTCTACCACTTGAGCCACAGCACCACTTCCAGCTTTCTGGTGGTTTATTGGAGATAAGAGTTTCACACACTTTCCTGCCTGAGAGGGCTTTGAACCATGATGCTTAGATCTCAGCCTGCTGAGTAGCTAGGATTACAGGTGTGAGCCACCGGTGCCCAGCTCAGCCTGGCTCACTCTTTCTCTTTCTTTCTTTCTTTCTTTCTTTCTTTCTTTCTTTCTTTCTTTCTTTCTTTCTTTCTTTCTTCCTTCCTTCCTTCCTTCCTTCCTTCCTTCCTTCCTTCCTTCCTTTCTCTCTTTCTCTTTCTTTCTCTTTCTCTTTTCCTCCCTCCCTCCCTTCCTCCTTCCTTCTCTCTCTTGCTCTTTCTCTTTCTGTCTGTCTGTCTGTCTGTCTGTCTGTCTGTCTTTTGTCAGTCATAGGGCTTGAACTCTGGGCCTGGGTGCTGTCTCTGAACTCTTCAGCTCAAGGTGAGGCTCTACCACTTGAGCCACAGCACCACTGCCAGTTTTCTGGTGGTTTATTGGGGATAAGAGTCTCGTGGACTTTCCTGCCTAGGCTGGTTTTGAACTGTGACCTTCAGATCTCAGCCTCCTGAGTAGCTAGGATTACAGGCCTGAGCCACCAGCACCCAGCATACAGCCTGGCTTTTTGCTAGTTATTTCGGGGATTGAATCTCCTGGACATTTCTTCCACAGCTGTCTCAAAACTCAATCCTCAGAAAAAAACAAAAAACCTCAATCCTCAGGTCTCACCTAAGTAGCTAGGATTAGAAGTGTGCCTCTAGTGCCTGGTTCACCTAGTTTCTATTGATTGAGACTGAGTCTCCTAAACTTTTTGTATGAGCTTGGCCATGAATCACAATTCACCTGATCAGCCTCCTGTTAGTCATCACACCCTGCTGCATTCATTCTTGATCTCTGATTTCTTGGGCAGATCTTAGTGGTAGAATCAGTATTTTAATTATTAAGACTCCTGATAAATGTCCCCAATGGGCCCTGGGAATTATGTGTTCAATGCTTCCCAACCCAGGCTCTAGCCTGATCAATTAAAGAGCATGGAGTAATGATGTCATCAGCTGGCTTAAGTTTAAGGTGTCTTTTTTTAATTTTTGGTGCCAGTCTTAGGGCTTGAAATTAGGGTCTGGACACTGTACCTGAGCTATTTGTGTTCAAGGCTAGCATTCTACCACTTGAGCCACAGGTCCACTTCCAGCTTTTTGGGTGGCTACTTGGAGGTAAGAATCTTACAGAACCAGGCACCAACGGCTCACGCCTGTAATTCTAGCTACTTAGGAGGCTGATACCTGAAGATTGTGGTTTGGAGCCAGCCTAGGCAGGAAAGTCAGTGAAATTCTTATCTCCAATTAACCACCAGATAACCAGAAATGGTGCTATGGTTCAAAGTGGTTGACTACTAGCTTTGAGCGGAAACATCTCAGGGACAGTGTCCAGGCCCTGAGTTTAAGTCCCACAACCCAACAAAAAAGGAAAAGGAAAGGAAAGGAGAGGGCTGGGAAGGTGGCTCATTGGTAGAGTGCTTGCCTTGCATGCATGAGGCCTTGGGTTTGATTCCTCAGCACCACATAAGCAGAAAAAGCTGGAAGTGGCACTGTGGCTCAAGTGGTAGAGTTCTCGCCTTGAGCTGAAGAGCTGAGGGACAGTGCCCAGACCCAGAGTTCAGGCCCCACGACCAGAAAAAAAAGAAAAGAAAAGGTTCATGGACTTTTTGCCCAAGCTAGCTTCAAACCGTGATCCTCAGATCTCAGCCTCCTGAGTAGCTAGGACTACAGACTAAGGTACCCTTCTTATACTGGATGTCTTTCCTCAAAGGGTTCCAAAAGGATCTTGCGCTCTCATGAGATTGTACTGCCCCCAAGTGGACAAGTGGAAACTGACCTTGCCCTCACCTTCTCTCTGCAGGTGAGTCGACCACCTAGGCAACAGGTACACTCCTAGCTCAGGGCCCTGGGTGACAGGTACTCTCTGGTCAGTGCCTGGGTGGTAAACACTTCCTGGTCAGGTTAATAACACTCTTGTCAGCACCCTGGGTACTAATGGACACTACCTGATCAGCGCTATAGATGGTAGGTACTCCCTGGTTAACACCTCAGTGATGGACAGTCCCTGGTCAGAGCTTTAGCTGATGGACATGCCTGGTTAGGACCCTTGACACTGGCCAGAGCCCTGGATGGTGGGCAGTCCCTAATCAGAACTCTGGGTGATGGATAATTTCCAATCAGAGCCCTGGGTGATGAACATCCCTGGCCAGTATACCCTGGTGGTGAGCATGTCCCGGTTAGTGCCCTGGTGACTGGGAGTTTCCAGCTAGTACTCTGAATGTTGGGTGCTCCCTTTTTTTTTACATCAGCTCTTCATTTTGGTTCTTTTTTTTTTTTTTTTTTCCAGTCCTGGGGCTTGAACTTTAGGCCTGGACACTGTCCCTGAGCTCCTTTGGCTCAAGGCTAGCATTCTACCACCTGAGCCACAGTGCCACTTTGGCTTTTTCTGTGATCAATTAGAGATAAGAGTCTCACAGACTTTCCTGTCCAGGTGGGCTTCGAACCATGATCCTCAGATCTCAGCCTCCTGAGTAGCTAGGAGCCACCAGCGCTCAGTTTGGTTCATTCTTAAAGAATTAGAAAACTTTTTTGGCTTTGTTGTGTTTTCATCCCTTTGGTTAAGATGCAATGATGGAGACAAAATATCAAGGTAATCAATTATAGAAGCATTTTGCCCTGATGTTAAGATAGTCAGGAATATGTGGAAACTAAGAATTCTAAGCTGGAAGCCCTTTGAGTATGTGGGCTATAGCCTGTGGTAAAGAGGAACTAGCTGTCCGCTTATTTGATATGGGGCTGTTAGAAGACTCCCCAGCCCTCATTTGAAATAGGGAATTCCAACTCTCTTCAGAAAGCCAGATGAGCCCCAGTTTATTCCTATCCCCCAGTCAAATAATCTTCACACAGGGCTGTGGTTTAGGGAAATCTGCAAGTCCCTGCCAGTGCTGGCCTCCACCCTACCCATGGCCACATCTCCTGATCCACCTGGCTCTGTCTGCCCTGGCTCATCTTGCTGGCCTCATGGAGCCTGCCTTCATCGGCACAGCTTTTGGGTTTTGTAGTGGCCTGGATGTGATTGTGTACTTTTTCCTGGGAGTCAGGTTTCCTGAGGTGCAGTTTACCAAGCATACGGATCACCTGTTCCATGGCCATATGGCTTCTGAAAAGTGTGTGTAGGCATGCAAGAGCATCCTGAGTTCTCTTGTGATCTCTGAGAACCTGTGGGAGTTGCGGTTAGAAGCTGCAGGTCCTGGTGTGTGGCAGCCTGTGGGGGGGGGGGGGACTGTTGCCGGGCCGTTGGCTTGGAGAGTGCACAGTGTACCAGGATGGAAGAACATACCAGAGGGCCAGGGCCACACTGGACCCTGGAGAGCGGAGCTGCTGGGGAACTGCGCATCCTTCCAGAGGTGCACATGCATGTATGGGCTCATCCCAAATGTCTCAGCTTAGAGTTAGCAGCCATTAATGTAGAAAATAAGCTCCTAGTGCCATGCTGAGGGGAGATACCCTCACTGATGTACTGGCTCCTGGTGGGGTGGGCAGAGGCAGCGCTGTGGGCCCCAGGGTAGCCCTGGAAGGCCCTTGCAGGGTCTGCAGGCATTCCTCAAAGACATTGGGTGTAGGTGGCTTAGGGTACAGGTACAGTGCTGTGCCAGACCCCAGGAGCGCTTGCTTGTGCTCTTAGTATCCACACTTCCTGAAGAGAGAAGGCAACAAACTCCAGATCATGCTACAACGCAGAAAGCGGTACAAAAACCGGACAATCCTAGGCTACAAGACGCTGGCTATGGGCTCCATCAACATGGCTGAGGTGAGTAGCAGACTGGTGCTGTGCTGCATGTGTGTGTGTGTGTGTGTGTGTGTGTGTGTTATGCGTCTGTCCCCAGAGCATCTGCACAGGTCGCTTCTCTTACATATCCATTACATGTTCAGTTGTGTGTGTGTGTGTGTGTGTGTGTGTGTGTGTGTGTGTTATGTGTCTGTCCCCAGAGCATCTGTGCAGGTTGCTTCTCTTACGTGTCCAGTGGTCCTCAGAGTGGTCAGAAGAACCTTGGGGCTGGGCTCCAGCCTCATCCTAGATCCCTGGCCCCTGAGCTATTTAACTCACTGCTCCTGCACTGCAGCCCTGTGTATGCAATTTGCTTCCCAACCTGTCCTGTTTTGGAGGACAGCCGGGGCCCTCTGACCTAGTGCCTTTCCTGGGAAGTGTCCTGGAGATGTCCTTCTAGATGACCCTGCTGGACATCCCATTAGTCTTCGCCTAGCCCCAGCAGCCCAGTTGAGGGGACAGCAGTTGGACAGATGAGACCTGAGAATCATGGTTCAGAGCCAGTCCAGGTAGAAAATCTGTGAGACTTATCTCCAATTACTTCCAGAAAGGCAGAAGTAGAATTATGGCTCAAGTGGTAGAGTGCCAACCTTGAGCACAAAAGTTCAAGGACAGTGCCCAGGCTCTGAGATCAAGACTCAGGATGGGCATCCAAAACAAGGAAAGCAAACCCTAAACAATAGGAGTCATAGGAGTCCGTGGTATTGATGGGGTGCGTGAAATGATGGGGGCTTGTGGGCATAGAGGATGCTCCTGGGCTGCCGGGCTGAGGCTAACCTCAGCCAGTTTGTCTCTAGGCTTCGGAACTTTGCTGTCATGGGGCAGGCAGGGAACAGCAGGCGGGGCTGTACTCTCCCCCCCACACCTCTGCTGCCCACCCTCCTTACACATAGACACACACACACACACACACACACACACACATCTCTACCGCCCACCCTCCACTCACACACCTCTGCCGCCCACCCTTCCTATACAATACACACACACACACATACCCCTCTTCCACCCACATCGCCCCACACCCACCTCTTCCATCTACCCACCCATACACCCCCCACACACACACCCCTCTGCCACCCACCCTCCACACACATAGCTCTGCCGCCCACCCTCCATACACATAGCTCTGCTGCCCACCCTCCACACTCGTACCAGAGTTCCTGTGTTGTCCAGCGCCTGCCTTGCCTACCACTTCCCCTCTCTCAAGCCCCTCCTCTCTGCTTTATGCTGAGTGACCTGTCCATTAGACTTTTCCCCAGCTCTCCAAGTCCCATGACCACCCCAAAGGTTCAGTTGACTGTGGCACTTGTGGGTTTAATGCCTATCATTTACCTCTAGGCAAAGACTCAAATGCTGATCCACGGTTCCTGTCTCCATGGCCCATTGTCCCCATGTCTCCCTCACTCAGTCCCTGTGGTCCCGAGTCCACCCCTTTGCTCTCCATGAACTCCCTCCTCTGTGCTGGGAGAGCATCTCCACCCATTAAGACCTCAGTCTCTAGGCCCGGATCAGTCCTCTTGCACACTCTAGGCCCTGCTCAGCCCGCCTGTGCATGCCAAGGCCCAGCACAGCACCCCTCCACCCCATGCACTGGGGCCTGCCCTGGTTCCGCTGTGCTAAGCTAACTTCCTGATGACTGGCCTGTGGCCACATAGTTGTGTGTGTCACCGTGGGCACTGGTGAGCTCGAGGGGAAGCTGGTCCCTGACTGGCCTGTGGCTGCGTGGTCATGTGTGTCACCGTGGGTGCTGGTGAGCTTGAGGGGAAGCTGGTCCCTGACCTCACTGAGGGGTGGTGTGAAAGGACTCAGAGGCCATGCCTGTGGGCCCCATGCCTGGGTTTCCCTGCTGGTCTAGATGCAGCAGTGGGGAACTTCTGTGTGGGTGATAAACCAGGGGTTGGGAGAATCCTAAGGCTGGCGTTAATGCTGGCTGGTGCTGGACTGGAAGGCAGGTCCTCCAGGGAGGGTTTCTGCCAGTGTATGGAAGTGGGCAGGGCCATCCCTCCACATGGCCCAGGGGTCTCCAGCAAAGATGACCCAACTTGCCACCCATCATGTCCTCTGCTTGAGGATTTCAGGATACCAAGGACCCTGAACTGGGTGTCCCGGGAGTAGCTGGAGATGCAGTCAGAAAGAAGACATGGGAAGGGTCGTCTTTGGTTCCTGGGGCCTTGCAAAGAAGGGCACTATCCAGGACCAGGAATATGCCTGGGATATCCCAGGGCAGTGGAGACAGGAGGAGCTGTCAGGTCCTGTAGACTCCACTCAGATTGGTGAGAGCCCTGTGCAGCCTGTGCCACTCCTGGGCTGCCCCACAGGACTCAGCCGCAGGGCCCCAGGCTGCACCAGAGCTTGCTGCTTCTTTTCCTTCAAGGAGGGCACTTGTTTTCCCCCGTTGTTGAGCCTGGTTTCCTAAGCAGTTTCTCATGGCCCTGAACACCTTTTTGAAAACAGAGAGATCTGTGGAGAGTTGGGCACAGGCTGAGCTGACGTCAGAGCTTTGCTTTGGTCGGTGGGCGGCAGCAGCATCTGGTGGGCTGTTTGAACAAGGGTGCCCTGGTGCTTCAGAGCCAAGCCAGGTGGCTGTATCCTGGCTGGAGTGAGGACTGGCGCTGTCTAGAATGGCATTTCAGGAGTATTCCTGGCCTCAGGTTACGGACCCCTGGCTCTGAAGATAAGTCAGCTGTGAGGAGCATGCAGGTGCAGGGGTGTTATAGAACACAGAGATAGGCTGGGAGCAACACTATGGTGAGACTGCCCCCAGCCCACAGTAGGCCTAGCTGTGCTGGCCAACCTGAGACCCCATCTGATGCAGAACATCCGCTGGCCCACCCGCACCTCCGGCCTGAGGTATCCCCATAGAGTGGCAGAAGGCTGGTTTCTGTCCTGTCCTCCCAGTGGAGGAGATCAGGATTTCTAGGGCAAGAGGCCCAGTCTCACCTGAGGTCCTGCAGAGCTGGCTTTGAGGAGGCACGGCAGCTATGCCCTGTCAGCTGGCCTCGATCTGAAGGGCTGTGGTCCACTGCACACCCCAGCTGCAGCAGCCCATCGCCAGGATGTGGCAGGGCTCCGCCTCCGGAGCAGGTGCTGGTGTGAGCAGACTGTTCTCACTGCCAAGGCTGAGGCCACTCTAGGTAGATGGTGAGTGCTTGGAGCTGAGTCTGCAGAGTTCGGTAGATCTGCAGTGTGCAGCAGATTGTGTCGTCTGAATGCACATGGGCACATAAAAGCCCAGGAGTGGCTCAGTGTTCGTATAGACCTGCAGCTAACCTTCCTGACAGTCATGGTAAAAGCCATGTGAGCTTTCTTTCTCTTCCTTCCCTCCCTCCTTCTTTCCTTCCCTCCCTCCCTCCCTGATCCTAGGCTTGAACTCAGGGTCTTGAGCTTTTTTGCTCAAGGATACAGCTCTACTACTTGAAGCACAGCTCCACTTCCAGCCTTTTGGTTCATTGGAGATAAGAGTCTCATGGACTTTCCTGCCCGGGCTGGCTTTGAACGCAGTCCTCAAGTCTCAGCCTCCTGAATAGCTAGGATTATAGGCGTGAGCCACCAGCACCCAGCCTGTGTGAGCTTTCTTAAAATGTATTTGCTGATTTAGAGTTTGTACCACATATCAAGCATCAAATTAAAAAAAAAAAAGACCCCATAAAACCTAACATCTGGATCTGATTAGGTGACCCAGAGGCAGCTTCCCAATTGCAAAGGCCGGCTCGGTGAGTCTGAAAGCTGCCCGCGCATGTTTCCAATGCAGCATAGGGCCCAGGGCAGTGCTGGGTCTGGTGCCGGGCTTCGCTGCCCTCTCTGGTTTGCTGAGCACTCTCTCTGACAAGGTTGGCCTCAGGAGCTTGTCCATCCTGTGAGCCAGCCCCACTGGAGGCTTGGCTTGTGCTGGTGGCCTCTCCTCCACGGTCCTGGGACAGTGGGTTTCAAGGGTTAGGAGGCTGGTCAGGTACCACTAACTGACCTTCAGCCCCACCATCATTCTGCTTGGCTGGTGCTCAGGCCCCGGGCTGGGGAGCAGGCATACTCAGGCGGACGGCTTGGCCTGTCCCTGAGGTCTTGCCGGGGACATCCGAAGCCAAGTGGCTTGTAGAAGCTCCTCTGTACCCACCCCAAGCCTGGTACCGACTGTCCCTCGGTCCAATGTCCCCCACGACTGTCCATCCAGGCCCCTGGTCCTTCTGTGTCCTGCTTGGCCTCCTCTCTGCAGTCTTGTTTCTTGCCTGCCAAGCACACTCCCTGTGCCTGGATGTGAGGGCTGCTTGAGGTGGTAGAACTTTCTAGAAACCTGTCCCCCAGGTAATGCAGCACCCCTCCGAGGGCGGCCAGGTGTTGAATCTCTGCAGCAGCATTAAGGAGGCCTCCGTCAAGGTGGCTGAGATCTGGATCGTCTCCTTGTCCAGCCAGCCCATTGATCACGAGGACAGCGCCATGCAAGCTGGGCCCAAGACCAAGTCCACAGGTGAATCTGTGCCCCCTGCCCTTGCTACCCTGCACACACCACTTCCTGGCCATGTGTATGTTGACCAGCAGGATGGTCCAGAGTGGCTGGAGAATTTGGGGGAGAAGCAGAGCATGTTGACCTGGGAGCTCTGAGGCAGCGCTGTGTGTTGTGGGCCTGTGCTGTGGCCATGAGATTCACGTCCTGAGTGCCTTCAGTGCGGAGGCCCCGAGGGGTCGATGCCTTGATGGGTGCTAGTCCTGTCGTGGGGCAGCATTCAGCGGCTCACAGCCGTGTCACTGTCAGCTCTGCCAGCCCCACAGCCGTGTGACCTTCTGTCATGGGCTCTCGCAGTCTGGGCCACGGGGCTGGAGTCCCGAGTCCCTGTTTGGTGTGGGCTGTCTCCTGTGGTCCCCTGCTTGCAGGGACCACCTGTGGTTGGATCATCACCTTGTTGTCATAGCACCAGGCGGAATCTCAGGGTGCCTTCCCTTCCGTTTGTTTATTCTTCAGATAACTACTCAGAGGAGGAGTATGAGAGCTTTTCCTCGGAGCAGGAGGCCAGCGATGATGCTGTACAGGGGCAGGTAATGGGCGGACCTTGGAGGCCCTCATTTCAGCCCTCGCCATACACAGTTGTGTAGGGGTGAAGTGGCTTCATGTGTCCAGCTCCACATACCGAGTGTGTGGCCCCTCGGGGCTGTGGGAGGCAGGAAGGACGGGCACACCACACCCTCAGTCATGTGTGTCTTGCAGGATCTGGATGAGGACGACTTTGATGTGGGAAAGCCCAAGAAGCAGCGGCGATCGATAGTAAGAACGACGTCCATGACCAGGGTCGGTGGAAATTGGATTTACTAACATTAGGGGAGGGCTGGGCGTGGTTTGGGGGTGTGGAGAGGGTGGAGATGGCGTTGCCTGAGGCCCAGGGATGATGGGCCTGGGTGTGGAGGATGCGCAGACCTCTTGCAATGGTCTTGCAGTGTGGAGCCATGGCTGGGGTGGCCAGCGGCTGCCTACGGCCCCAAGCCAAGGCCAGAGGAAGATCCTCTCCAGTTCAGCTTCCAGACACAACCTGTGTGTGGCAGAGTAACTTTTTTTTTTGGGGGGGGGGAGGGTCAGATCATGGGGCCTGAACTCTGGGCCTGGGTGCTGTCCCTCAGGTCTTCAGCTCAAGGCTAGCACTCTACCACTTGAGCCACAGCGCCACTTCCGGCTTTTTTTCTTTTTGCTTATGTGGTGCTGAGGAATCAAACCCAGGCCTCATGCATGCAAGGCAAGCGCTCTACCACTGAGCCACCTTCCCAGCCCCCAAAGTAACTTTTTGTTGGTTTGTTATCGGTACTGGCTTGGGCACTGTCTCTGAGCATTTTTGTTCAGTCTAGCATTCAACCACTTGAGCCACAGCACCACTTCCAATTTTCTGGTGGTTTATTGGAGCTAAGAGTCTCATGGACTTTTCCTGCCTGGGCTGGCTTTGAATCACAGTCCTCAGATCTCAGCCTCTTGAGTAGCTAGGATTACAGGGGTGAGTCACCAGTGTCTGGCACAAATAATGTTTTGTTTTGTTTTGTTTTTGGTGCTAGTCCTGGGGCTTAAACTCAGGGCCTGGGTACTGTCCCTAAAATTCTTTTGCTTAAGGCTAGCACTCTACCACTCATGAGCCATGGTTCCACTTCTGGCTTTTTCCTGAGTAGGGGCTTTTCTGCCCTGGCTGGCTTCAAACCCTGATCCTCAGGTCTCAGCCTCCTGAGTACCTGGGATTATAGACATGAGCCACCAGTGCCTGGCACAATAATGGTTTATTTAGGGCCTAGCCTCTGGTTCTGTGGGCACAGGAGGTGGCTGTCAAGTCTCTTCTGTAAAAGGAAAACTTGAGGAGTGTCTCAGGTTATTCTCAGCTGGCACAGTGTTCACAGTGGGCACCAAGCCCCTTTGGAGCCCAGTGCTAGCTAGGCTGCACTTCTGCAGGACTGCCCCCCTTCAGCAGGTGTGAGTGAGGCCGTGAGGCTGCTGTGCCCATAATGTAGGGGGAAGCCTCAGCCCTCAGTACCCCTCGGCGAGAAGACAAACAAAGAGTCGCCCTCCCTGGACAGGGTTGGCATTGTAAAGGGACTGAGGGACTGCCTCGTGGACCTGCTAAGCCTGGCACTTTGGCCATCTCCGTGCACACACCTCCTCAGGCCTGTGTCTCCTGGGAGGCTGGAGTCACGAGAAAGGCTGTGCCGGCTGCCAGCAAAAGCACAGAGCCAGCCTTCCTCCACAGCCCAGGACTGTCAGTTCCCCCGGGCATTCTAAGTCTGACTTCAGCTTGTGCATTCAAATGTTGCAAACACACCTGCAACTACACTTGATAGCCTTCCACATACTCATCAGAATTTCAGTGATTAAGTTGCACCTCCTCTCCCCTGGCTGCCACCTCGAGGCCCAGGCATGACATCGCTGCCGATGGGTCTAGCTCCCGTGTCATTCCTGGCTCTGTGCTTCTTGTCTTGCAGCAACAGAACTTCAAGCAGAAGGTTGTGGCACTGCTACGGAGATTTAAAGTGTCAGAAGAGGTGAGTACCCAGGCCTCTGCCCCAGCGACCACCGTCACCAGGGCACTGCTTACCAGGGGGGCCGTCTGATAGTCTCTTGATTCCAAATTGAAACGTCCAGAGGAAGACAGATGAGCATTGATGTGCTCATTTGTTTTATAAATAGACATTATTTGTGGAGTGGTTCAAATTTATAGACAGATCAAGAAGAGAGCTCCCATGGTTGCCTCAGTACAGCCTGCCTTGCCCGGTCCCTCTCCCCCCCCCGCACTTACCCATCCCCATCTTCCCCCCAGTACAGCCTGCCTTGCC